TTTTGTAGGACTGACTGTTGAGAAAACACAACCATTACAGTTACGAGACATCTTGGAAGCAGTGGTCTTCCTCCGAAGACCAATAAAGGCCTAGAGGTCTTCCTATGAAGTCCTATAAACTCTACCTTAAGAAAAACAGGAATTAAAACAGGCATTAAAGGGCGGGAAGCCTGTGGAGACTGTCACAGGTGCCAAAGAGTGAGGAAGGCCAGGGCCATAAGCGCACGAGGAGGTAAAGCACGCTGAAGGCCCCAGTGGGGGGCGAGAAAGCCAAGCTGCACAGAGAACCAGCTCCCGAGTGGGCTGACACCCTGCCCTTCCAGGTGCACCTGACCTCAGCACCCTCCTGCCAACGCCACATTGCTCTCCGGAACACGGAGCACTCTCTTTGGCTCCAGCACTCCCTACCCAACGCAGTTTCCCAAAACCACATGCGGTTCTGCTTAAAGTCCTCACCTCACTCAACGTGAGCCTCTCCCTTCAGAAACCCACACCGTCCCTGAACCTGCATCCAGAGCGGTCCCGACGGTCGATCAACAGCCAGTCCCTGCGCGCTGACGGCAGTGCCGGGTACTGGCACTCATCCCCACGCTCATCTGTCAGTGCTGGGTATGCGTTAGCCGGAGCTTTGAGGAAGAGAGGAAGAAAGGCTACTGGGTTGAATAATGTCTCCCCCAAATTCATGTCCACTTGGAACCTCAGGATGCGACCTTATTTGGAACATGGTCTTTGCAGGTGTTATTAGTTGAGATGAGGTCATACTGCATCAGGGTGGGTCCTAAAGCCAATGCCTGGTGTCCTTACAGAAGGAAGGAAAGGGAGGTTCGGACGCACACAGACACTGGGGGAGAAGGCCATCTGGAGACGGCGGCAGAGAACGGACTCATGCATCTACAAGCCGAGGAACGCCAAGGACTGCTGGCAACCACTACAAGGTCGAAAGAGGCAAAGGATTCTCCTCTGGAGCCTTCAGAGGGACCCTGGCCCTGGCGACACCTTCATCTCAGAATTTTTAGCCTCCAGAACCGCGAGAGAACACACTTCCACTGCTATAAATAAGCTCCCCGGTCTGTGGCACTTTGCTACGGTAGCCCAAAGAAATTACAAGAAGGATGTGGCATGCTCTCAGCAGCATTTCCCCTCTGCCAACCTCATCTCTGTCTGGGATGTGCATACACAGTGGGTACTGTTCATTCTTTTCTGACGGTGAATGGACTGTGTCTCCTTCACACTTCACCCAAGCCCTTTCACTCTGGAAAATCCTGGCGTCATTTCACCTTTACTCACTTTAGAAAAAAGAAGGTGCATATTTCATTTATGTACTTTTACTCAAGAGACTGCATTTCATTAGAAAAATTTTAATTTTTTCTTTGCTTTACAACAGTCTCACTTTTTGCCTCCCTTTCGAAAGGAAATAAAAATCCATGAACAATACCTAGTCTTCACCTCCCACACCAAAAAAGTACCTGAAGTAAGCCCAGGTACTGGAAGTTGGAAGCGGTCAGAACTGAGACAGAAGTTTTACTCGGAGAAGCCCCAGCACGTACGTCTAACTCCTAAGTCTAGGCCTCTCCTGGTCAAATCCTCCACCCAGAAGCCCGGCCTCAGAGGCTACCCAGGTTTCTGTCCACTCAAAGGCCTGTGGGGGCAGGTACCTGTGCCGTCCACTGCAGTCACTGGAGCACCCTGCACTTCTAGGAGCTGGAGCAACCTCGAAGCTGGGCTCCTCAGACAGAGCAGCAGTCTCTGGCCACTGGCTGCCAGTCATGTGGCACCTCGGTAACACCTAACTGGTACCGAACACTACCATACCCGGGGCCAGCACCTCCTGAGCAGGCTGTTAACGGTCATTCGCCTCAGTACTAACAGGAACGATTTCCCCAAGCGTTCTGAAGTCAACTTTTTAGGTTGGTGAAAGGAGGTTCTCACTGAGCAGGATTCTCCAACTAAAATGGGGCCTAATTTTCTCCTTTCTGGAATAAGGTCAAACTTTTTAAAGATCTCCTTTATTGACAAGTGAGGATCTTACATCACTTCTGATGCTACTGTGTGCAAGCTCGCCACCAACTGGCTAGAAAAGACTGCAGCGACCCAGCGCGAGTGTTGAGCACCAGAAGAGAGTGCTGCTGACAGCAGTCCTGCCAGCCCCTCTCCCAGCATCTCGTCCCCACCCTCAGACCACTCTTCCTGCTTGGGGGCCCAAGTGCCTGGACTCCACACCTTCTCCCCTTCCTCCCCCCATCCCCTCATCACTGCCCTACACACCATAAGTTCTAGGTTCCCTGATTTCTCTCACAACAAACCGAGGTCAATGGCTGATGATTTGGGATCTGGGTTTTAACGAGCTACAAGAAAGGGAGATGCTTTCATTCTGTCCTGGGGAAAACTGTTCTTAGCATGACTTGGCCTAATGACTCCTAATAGAGAAAAGACAAAAGACAAAAGAAGCTGTGTCTGATTTTAACTAGAAATTACCACAAAGACTGTGAAATTAGGTCCAGAAAAGGGCAACAAAAATTATCAAGGGAGTGATACCAAGTTTTCTTCTGAGTCTGAGAAAGATAAGTGTATGTGTTATTAAGGCAATAAAGGACGACACAGGCATACATTCACAGCTAAATCCTCTCCCCTGACTGACCCTATGAACGACGCTGCTGGGCGTGAGCCTCTGCTCGGCCACCTGCCACGTGACCGTGGCTGATCTCAGACTTACCTGCAAGTACATGGATAATAATGTCTACACATACTTTGTTGGGGGTAATTAAAGAAAATAATAAATGTGAAAGTACCTATCAGAGTGCTCACAGCATAGCTGAGGCTAAATAAATATTAGTTTCCTTATTTCCTTTATTTTAATTAGTGCATAACACATTCATTCAGTTGCCAAGGATGTCACTTCATAGGCTTCCAAACACCTGATGATCTAATCTCCCTGTAATTAGGGTTCCGCCTCCGTTCAAAGTCAACACTGCTTTTTTACCTACCTGTGTGCCTGCTCCTCTGTTTCTACCCATGAGTTCTTTCCTCTTCGCCTGCTATTCACAGGACGGCCTTTATAAAAACCTGATTTTAGTAAGATTTCCTCAGTTTGCACTCCACTACTTTTTTCCTGCTCTTCAACCCCACATACAGAGAGGCCTGAGCAATGGGACAGAATGATTTGCTTCAGTGATGGCCCCTATGTGAAGAATCCCACATCCAAGGCCTAAGTTTATCTTATCTATGCAGTAAATGTGTAACGTGCACACGCACCGAGAATCATAGTAATTTGGTGGGTAGGACACTAGAGTTGCGGTCAAAAGGCCCAAGTTCAAATTCTTGATCTGGCACTCAAGAGCTATACGACTCCATGTCCCTTATTCTCACCAGCCTCAGTTTACTCAGCTACGGGGCAGAGATCACGCAGCTGCTCGCTCCCACCTCAAGCCAAGGCAGGGTCAATGCTTCCGTGCTCAGCCCTCCCCAGTGAGAAGGAGCCACGACAGGGAGATTGAAAAAAGAAAATCTCCTCAGGACACAATAGGATACCCCGCATGAGTCAACGCACGCCAAGGACAACACGATGTAAGAAAATTCGCTCTTCCTGCCGACTCTGCCTCTCCCACCCCTTCCCTGTGGCTGATTCTGGCGGACTGTCCTTCACAGCTGGCCAGGGAGCTCCTCCTGCTCCGAGGTCAGGCAGGCACGGGCCGGGGGAGGGAATGCCAAAGGAAGCACAAAGGCTTAGGACAGATTAGCTCTACCGCGCAGGGAGACACCGGCTTCCTCCTTCCACTGCTCGAGCAGTGCATGCCAAAGGGACAAAATCCATGCTCAGGCCCCGGATAAAAAAGAACAGAGGCTGGAAAGCTCAAGCCACCCTCAGAAAGAGGCCGAAGAAATGCCTGAAGGTCGCAGGCAGCCCAGCTTGGCCAACTAAAGAAAGTACTGAGACGGAGACTGGGCCCTGGGGACCAGCCAGAAGTGAGGAGTGGGTGATTGGCAGGACTGTCCTTAGTGACGCTGGGAACAGGAGCAGGCACAGCAGATGGCAGGTTAAAAAGTTCAGGATTTGAGATTCTGGCTATATTTTTATGCATTTTTAAAACTGTGGTTAAAAAACACATAAAATTTACTATCTTAACTATTCTAAGCGTCCAGTTCAGTAGCGTGACACACATGCATACAGATGTCCAGAACTTCTTCATCTTGCAAAACTCAACCTCTATTCCCATCCAACAACACCCTCTTTGCCTCCCTCCCCCCACCCCCCAGCCACCACCATTCTGCTTCTTGTCTCCATTTCTCCTTGAGTTTGACTATTCTGAATGCCTCAGATTCTGGCTATTTTTATACCTGGGTCACAACTCACAACCTGTACTGTTTGGCAAATGGAAGTAAGCACGTACAGGGGACACAGATCTGTGGAGCAGGCTTACTCAGCAACCAAAAGGGCAAGAGCAGCTGACTTCTTAGAGCCAAAGTGTCACACAGAGATGACGGGAACCCTAAGATCAGATAGGATTTGGTAATTAAAATTTAAGATGTGCATGGATAGAAATTTACTGCCACCCCACTCTCAGAAAGGGCCACGGAGTGGTTACAACAAATTACACAAGTTTTTCCACATTCAGGCTGTTGACCATACAGGACTGGCACTGGTAACTGATCCAGTGTTATTCTGAAAATGTATGCCGTTAATGGCTAATATCAAATTTGGCCAGTGGTCTCAGCAAACACCCCTAATTTCTAAGTACCCTGGAATAAAAATATGCACACGGCTGAACTAGAAAAGTGAAACATATGAACACTTTATTATTAGCTGGGCCTGTGACTCCGATCTCCAACGCAGCATTCCATAAGCGAGGCTAGAGATCACACGGAGAATGCTTTTTCCCTACGTGAGTGGCAACCTCGAGCTTGAGACCAAACTACATGCTGGCATGAAGAGGATCTCGTAAAATACTAGGTCTAAATATTCAGTCTTACTGCCCATGATAAAGAAGGCTGGCCGAGAGTACCTGAGTCAGCAAAACAGAGAATGGGGCCAGAAAGAGACAGAAGAGAGAACATTTGCCATTATTCCAAGGCTTCCAAATTGCCCCCAGCTTCCAAAAAGGGCAGTCGCCTGGACACCGATCTAACACACAGGAAACAAAGAAAACAGGAAGAGCTGTCAGGCCCTTTCCACTCAGGAGTGGCCCCAGCCTCACCACTCTGGCCACAGAAAGCCAGAAAAGAGAGAAGACACCACACACACATGGGCTTAGCCTTCTAACTGGCACAGGAACTAGACACTCTGGGACAGAAGCCACTGAAATGTCCTTTACCTCACGGACATTTCTCCTCATTGGGTGGGGAAGTCAAAGTCAGGGAAGGAGAAGCCCAGAGCCCAAACAAGCAACCCTTGGCAGTGGGGAAAATAGTGAGATGACACATGCTCCCTCCGGACACCAACAGCTATTGGGACAAGGGTTTTCCTTTCTCTTGCTTCCTGGCTGTGCACAGAAATAATGCACAATTTTAAGAGGTATGTGAATCACAGACATCCTGACTGTATGATCAACTAGAGAATTATGGATTTAGGCAATGACCAAATAAAGATTATGTTCTATAGAAGATATATGTTATTTTATTGAGTTAAGCCAAAGGGAGGAAAAATCGTTAAAAAATGATGACAAATCCAAAGGCTCGGAAGGAAAAAAAACGTGCTGGGAGCATAACGGCTCTTAGAATCAAGTTTGCACAGAGACTGAAGTAAAACCATAATCCCCAGATAAAATGACTTTCAGGAACTCATATTTAAGGAAAAGGCTGTTGTTCAGGCTTCGGGAAAAAACACCAGAAACTTACAGAGCACCAAACTCAGCTTTAAAAAAAATGTCTGGGTATCTTAGTGAAGACAGGAACAATGGGAGGAAAAACAGAATGGCACGCGATCTGAAACCCTGTAAGGCTTTCAAGATAGCAGAAGGAAACGGGACAAGCAGAGCAAATTTTAATAACCAATGCCTTACATGAACAGAAAATGACTCTCCTGAGAAACAAAAAAGAGACGGGACAAAGATGCTTCTGCTGTCCGAAAGTGGTCCAAGGTCTAGGGAACGCCCAACCCAGAGAGAGGCAGGAGTTTGAGGAAGAGCATGAGGCAGGGGAGTTTCCTCCTCATTGGGCCCCAAAGGGCACAAGCTGAGGAAAAACTCCAGAGGTGGTGTCAGTTTAAAACACTCCAGGGGGATTCTCCAACTAGGACAAATGGTGACACAAGGGGAAAACTTACCACAGTGACAGAAGTCCAAACCCCCAAAACATTCCAGAAGAGGCAGAGACAGGGCCCACAATGGCTGAAGGGCTACAAAAGCCTTAGGGTCCTGCTGGACGGGACAAACGCAGAGAGAAAAGTAGGTTTACATTATTGAGAATTTAGGATCACAAAGTTTTTTTGAAGAACTGGCTATGATAAATGCAGGGGCCCGGCTCGGAAGATAGATCCACATGTATCTGGGCTTATTGTAAATACACAGGAGTCAAGGCATGGAGGGCCAAAGGGAAGAGAAAACCTGAGAAACCATGGAAAGGAAAATCCAGGCAGTCTACACAACTTCTTCCAAGACTTAGAAACCCTAATATTGTAATTAGCCTCCTGACAGGAACTTCACTCAAAGTGCCGGGTTCGCAGGTGTTAGAGGACTCAGTTTTTTTCACTGCCTGTCCAGTCTCGAGCAGTGCCGAGGGAGCACACACAGGAGTCAGGCCCAGCAGTTCCACGTCCTGCCCCACCACATGCCTGCTGTGGAGCCCTCACCTCACAGGTTAGGAATGGAGGCATGGAGATAATAAAGGCACCTGGCCGTATAAGATTACCTTATTAGGTAGTTTAAGGACTAAACAAATTAACCCATGAGAAGTACTGAAAACAGTGGCTGGCAAATTGTAAGGGCTCAACAAAGATTAGCTACCATTATTATTACTTATTCCATCTATGACCTCCTTCCTCTGCTGTATCCTATAATTGCTCAGAGTAGTTTGGGTATAGATTTCAAGATCTATTTTTCAGTTTGAGGAAGTTCACTTTTCCTTGGGACGTATGACGATATATTAAGAGACTTAGACAGCAAACAGCTGCCATATTTACATTCTTATAGAAAGTTTACATGTCTTTCTAAATGTCGTGAATCTGGGGACAGTGCTGAATTACAGTATGTCTACACAGCTTTCTGGAACTTTCAGGGAAGGAATGAGGTTAGAATTCCCCAGCTTGCTAGAGCTACCCGAAGCCCCTATGTCATCTGCAGCAGGAATCGCTAACGTGAGAAACAGTCCTGCAGACTTCCCTGCGCTGTTGAAGACTGAACACAACAGGAAGAAAACGGAAAGGTGAAAATGCTCTCAACATATTTCGGGATTTCAGTTTCTCTGGGGAAACAAAGTGTTGATGTAGAATGAAGACTGTTACCAGGATATATTTTAAAGGGAAAGAATATAATTGGAGGAATTTCAAATGGCTTTGAAATTGGCTTTTTCTCCCTTGCAGGACTATACACACCAATTATGGTTCCTCTCTCAGAAATCAGATGCCCTCTCTCTCAGAAACCTAACCAACTCTGAGAATGAGGTGATTAGCTCTGAGAGGAGGATGAGAGGTTATAATGTGCAAAGAGACTGCAGAGGTCATGAGTGATCTCAGCGATGCAAGTCATGAGGAAGTAGAATCTAAGGATTCTAAAGGAGAAGCTAAAAGGTAGGAAAAAGATATACACAGGAGGGGAAACAAGCCAGATGAAATCAAGAGGAGAAAGACACAAAGAAATGAGAGGTACCATGAGACCCACGGTCCATGGGAAAGACCATGGCTTGTCTCTGCACTGCCTTAGTTCCTCACAGGTCTGGTTCATGAGCATCCTCACAACATATCCCCTTTTTCTTAAAAGGATCTGAATGAATCTCTGTTCCTTCCAGCAAAAAAAAAAAAAAAAATCCCTAACTAAAACAGTTACTTGAACTCCTCTTCAGGATGAAGTTTTCCCAGGAGGTTCCCCAGCCCTGAAGCAGACAGATTCCTGGCCAGTCCGCGCCCACCAGACATGCCTAGACACACCCAGGGTCTGCTCCCTGCAGGACAGGGATGTCTCACCCCTAGGCATACAGGCACAGTGCCTAGGGCTTCTGAGCATCTCAAGGGCCTGTGAAAATGTCTGAGACCCAAAGAAAATTTACTGGATGCAAAATATGAAAAGAAAATTGCAACATCAAAGTTAATAAATACTAAATGTCTACAACTATTCAAATGAAGCTCAGCTCACAAAGTCTCGTATAAGTTAATTTTATGTTGGACACATGGGTGATTTTTTAACCTTTGATACGACATGGTAAAGGCCTCCAAAGTTAAAAGCGCTTAAGGCCTTCAAAGGTCTTCAAACCAGTCTGACAGCAGTGGACGTGTTTGGGCCTAAGCTAGAATCTGCCCACCCTACCCCTTTCATCACCACACACTTTAAATAGTAAGCCTCGCCACTCAAAACTGAGCACAGTCTGAGGGGAGAGATCAAATCCCACCTCACAAATTTTAAATGAACAATTTAATAGATATGAGGAGTCTACTATCTTTTCTTAATGAAATATTTTAAATAAGTGAAGCCAAATAACTTCTGTTAGTCATCCTATTAGTTTTACCAAAAAGAAAAAACCGATGTCATTCATGACAGCAAATGATCCCGCGTATTTAAACTCCTCCCTCAACAAATCTCCCGTGTAAGGAATTTCAAAGCCAACTCTCTCCTCCCTCCCACATACCTCTACAATTCTGTTTTCTCTCTGTGCCTGTTTTTCCCTTCAGCATTTAAACACAACCAAGAGTCTCCCCTACCTTAAGTGAAAATGGCATTTAATCCCATGCCTTCTCCAGCTGCCACATAACCTCCCCCCTTCTCCATCCAGGCTTCTTGAAGACTGACTTTCCAGATTTCTGCTGCCTTTCTTCCCATGCATGCCTCAACCCACACCACACCACTGATGTTCCTCCCAACGTCAGCTTCCTCGTGACCAAGGACAGGGTCCACTTTGCTCTTGATCTCACTGGATGCTCCTGGCCACAGCCCTTGGCTCCTTCTGACTCCCCGGCCTCTGGTTCTAACTCTCGCCATATACGCCATGTTCTCAGTCTGCTCAGTGGGTTCTTGTTCCTCTGTCAATACTAGCATATTCCCGTGGGTTCCATCTCTGCTCTCCCTTGCTCCCAGTATGCATGCACACCAGTTCCAACCACCTCGCCCACTGTTTCTCAACTCTGGCTGTTGAACACCATTGCTGAGAGTCTGATTCAACTGCTCAGAATGCCTCCAGAGGGCACTCAAACACCTGTTCAGAAATCTGCATGGCTCTTTACACTAAGGTCTTACAAACGGAAAGGAATTTCACCGTGGATTACTACCACTAACTGGATGCCAAGCATCATGAAAATTTGTACAACCTGTTTTGTGCAGGTTCTCTGATTCTAATTGTGAGTCTAGTAGGGCCTCATCACAAGGTCCTGATCCTGTCATAATGTGAAGATGGAGTAATAAAGTTACTGGATATTGATCAACTGAAAAACCTGACATTTTTTTCTAGCTGATGCCTAGTACTCTGAATCAATGAATTATTCTTAAACCCCATCAGGCTCAATCCTAAACATAGTTGAACTACACATCCAAAAATGATTTTAAAAGCCAGAGGGACATTAGGTATTTACTCTGCAGAAGAAAAAGGGTTCCAATTATTTTTATGAATTATTTTATTATTAACCTCAGTGTCAGAATCATAATCATAGGGACAGAGGTCTGCTCTAGCTACAAAGTCTTCCCCACAAGCTGTCACAATACCAAGGAAGGAACGCACAGCAAAATAAGATGCGGAGATAAGCTATGATTATTTTATGAACTTGCAGGGGTATGAAAAATAAATGAGCTCTAGAATAGCTTTACTGAATTTCTTATCATGTATCAGGTGACTTAGAGACACTGCATATTCCAGAGTTAGAAAAAAGATGCAGAAAAATCTTTAGTGTTAAAAGCAATACAAATTATGCTTTTTTAAAATTAAACTTCGAATGCTTCTGCTATATCTCCAGAATTAAATTAAAAGAACAGCAACAACAAAAAATCCTCTCTTCTTCCAGATTCTTACGAAGGGTAACCATAGCCACTAGTTATCCACCTTGTGAATCTCCCACGTGAATCTGCTCTGACACTACTTTTGACCTGCTAAACGACTTCGATTTGCCAAATTTAGTTTCACTCCTGATCCCTTTATCACATCTTTGGGCCACTTAAAACTATTGCCTCTGCCCATTCTTGAAACCTCCTCCTGACTTCCAGGTTACCTCTCCCAAGTATGCTCACCTGCAAATCTGGCCAGCCTGGGCTCAGGCACCCTAAGTCAATCTGCTCTCACGGGCCCCCTCCAGGGACCCCAACAGTCGTGAGCCTGGAATCTAAGCTGAGCCAACCTGACTGTCCTCCCTGGGAACTCAGAATTGAGACGTGGGAAGACTGAGTCTGCGACGAGGGCTGGCAAGGAACACAGACTCAGGATGGCCTTCTGGAGCAGGCACCCGGGGTCACATGTGTGAAATACAGCAGAGCGAGGCTGCTGAGAGAGCAGTGCAGAGCACATGTGCAGCAAACGAGAGGCAGGGGAAACAAAGGCAGAGTACAGCCGCACCAACTGCTGCCGACTTTCCAGCGGCTGGGCCCCAGCCAGAAGCAACTCTGGACTCCCTGGTGTACTCAGTATGCCCCTGCACTTAAGCCACTTCGAATGGATTTTATTTCTTTCAACTAAACGCTCTCTGGTTAAGACATCCATCCTGCTTCCTTTCTAACAACTCCTTCTTTCTGTTACCTTTGCAGGCACGTCCTTCCCTATGTTTCCCTGCCTTGTCCTTCATGGTACCCACGCCCCAGCTCTGCCTTGTGCATCTTCTCATCCTCTTTGCATGTTCACTCCCACTTCTAGCCAGTGGCAAGGACACAAATGACCCCCAAATCTCTAGCCAACCTTCTCACGGCCAGGTGGGCATGCCCACATGGATGAAGGGCCTCTGCCTATTTCCTGGCCTGCCTCTATGTGGAAGGGACTAGCTCATCGGCATCAACTGCCCCAATTAGGCATACTGTTACAAGAGTGTGACTGACAACAGGACCATTAATGCCAGAAAAACCTACAGCACCTGCTCATTACAGGCAGAGCCTAGCCTGATGGACCCCAGAGACAATCACAGTATTACTCAAAGTCAGGGTCATTGCCCCAATCTTAAAAAAAATGTACAGATCTCCACTCATTGTTACCACTAAAAAATAAAGAAAAAGAATAAAATATAGTAAAAAAAAAT